CTCATATCGATAAACTTTTTAGTGTTTTCCATTTATATGCTTTACTTTCTTCATTCTATAACAATGGACCTTCAATTTTATATCTGTAACCATTAAAATTCTGTAATATAAACTTATCCAAACCTTTACGAACTTTCATCCTATGTTTTTGTCTACTTATACTAATGTGAACCCTTACCTGTACTTTTCATAGTTTTTCTTTATACATTTTACCAATTCTAATCATATTAAAACACTTATTTATGTATTATAACACAAATTATCGCTAATTTTAATTGTTTTGACAGAATTGACATCAAAGTTTTTCTTCGTTGCTATGGTTATATTTGATACTCTTCATGAAAATTGACTCATTGTTTGTCAGTTTTAGGCATTGAAACTCTGTAGTTTTTGAATTTTTAGGGTTCTAATTTGAAATCATTTACTTCTAAATTTGAGTTCGTCTTCAGGTATAAATAGCCTCGCTCAAATAGTTCTTCATCACTTCAACGGCAACAGTTGCCAAGTTAGCTTTTTGGAGCTCGTACAGAGCTAGCTAAATTCTTAAAAGGCCTATTTCCCGGGGCCGACTGCCCCGGGAACTCTTCAAAGTTACGGTCTCAAAGTCGCATGACATCTTTCTGGCTTTAACTAGACGACAACAAATCAATACTCCACTATAACCTCCTTCGCTACTTCACTCCTGGAGGCTGTCTGCGAGTATACACCTTAGGCCCGAGCTGCTGCTCAGTTCTGGGCTGCCGAAGAATCCCCTGTTCGACGCATCGAGACTACGCCTCGCTGATTTACGCTCTCGGCTCTTGGCTGCCGGAGATTCTCCTGTTCGACGCATCGAGACTACTCCTCACCGATTTACGCTCTCAGTTCTTGGCTGCCGAAGAACCTCCTGTTCGACGCATCGAGAGACTACGCCTCGCCGATTTTACGCTCGGGATCCAGACGCCCCTCAAGACTGCTGAAGTACTTCATCAACGGAACTTCACCGCTGACCCACGCCCCTTCACCTACACTGACACTCTCACTCACACTTCTACACTTTTCACCTCACTAATCACCTCGTCCCTTTTATTTTAGTTTTTTGTTTAATGTAAATAAATTATTAAATTTGATTTATCATCTTTTAGTTCATTTTATATCTTGTTTCACCGTGAACCTCCTTATGGAAATAACGCCATATACATTATTCACACACCAGGCGTTTTTATAAGAAGTGTCGTATACGTACTTACGCTAATGAACATTTACAATTGTAAGTGTATCGTCACAGCGGCACATCTCATTGTTGTATTTGTTTAATTTTATTTTAACTATGCTATGCTAAAAAATATTCTTAATTAAAAAGTAAAAAAAAGTGCTTGAAAAATTCGTAAGTCCTGTTAGGTCCTGGGTAGCTCAGTGGTTAGAGCAGTCGCCCGGATTGCGAAAGATTGTAGGTTCAGTCCCATCTCAGTGTCAGGGATAAAGTGGATTTTTTATACATTTTTCATTAAGAACAATTACATATATTTGAGCTATAATTATAAATAATAATCTACGTATTTATAATGTTTAAAATTGATTTCAGCTATTTGCTATTTCGTATTCATAGCAATCTTACGTACAGTTGTGGGTACAGTACATATTATAAACATTATTTACTTATTAACAGTTCCCTACGAGTTTTTCAGCGTAGAATTTACTTATAGGGAAATACCTTACCTTACCTTGGGGGAAAATCCGAAAACGCTTTCAATAGTTAGTCAAGCCGATTGGCACTTCCATGCTATATAAACAGAAATAATTCTTATTAATGTATTATTAAACGCAAAACTCAAGAACGGCTGGAATAATTTGGCTTTTTTTTTTATATACTTTGAAATACGATGAAGTACATTTCATAAAGTGTTCTCTCCTTTTCCCGAAACTAATTGTTGCAGAATTTCGAAAGGTTCTTAAGAGTTTATTGTAATCCTGTCAGAGGCACACCAAATTCCTACTTCCGTTGCATCAGAAATTATTGAATAATACTTTTTCATGTTCTTGTGTTTTGAAAATAAACGAAATTTTGTTTTCGGAGAAATTTGAGGTCTTACGGAAGCGAAAACATTCATGGAAATCTTCGATTCGAGTCGGGGCAGTAGACAATGAACTTTTCTATATTGTCTTGGGTCCGAGTCTGGATACCGTCGTCGTTTTGACATACTCCATAATACTAGTTAGCTTTAGCTACTCGTTTGGGAATTAAAGCAATTAATGTTATGTGATCTATTTTTTTTTAATATAAACTGGAGACCAATACTAATAATGTTAGTGTGATTATGGCGAGACTACGGACGCTTCAGCGTTGACAATTTTAACACAAATGAACAAACAGATTTAGGTTTGTTATCGACATAGGAAGTGTATAATCATTTATTTACGTATTAGAACCTCTTTTCCAAATTAATTATGTATAGAATCCTTATCGTGTAGTGCCTATCCACATGAAATTGGCGGAATTGTGCGAAACGCGAAAATATGCCATCAATAAAAGAAAAAGAAGACAAACATATCTGTCACCATTGATTTCATGTCATAATAATATTTTGGTAGATAGTAAGATCTATTCTTAGCATTTACAGCAGTTTTACAGTTGCTTTACTAGTTTTACTTTGCTAGATGGATCAGGGACCGATTTGGATAAAGAAACTTCTTAAATTATAATATCTTGAGACTGGGTGGTCGTCGTATCATCAATGTTTAAAATTACCATGACAGAAAGAAATTAAATCAATTATAATCTATATTTAATTTAGAAACAACAGCCTTGATGGAATAAAAAATATGATATGTATAACAAATGATTACTACAAATGTTTCATCAACGTTATTTCCTGTTTGAGAAGTGAACCGGAGACCTTGAGGTGTGTTGTAACTACCTAACTACTTACTTTCGACATCGCCGCGAAATATTTGTGTGCAGACAATTAGATGACTCTACAATTGCAAGGAATTTTACAAAGTCATTCGTTTTGTCAATGCAATTTTTCACTAGTTATTGCCCACAACTTTGCCTGCACGATTACACTAAAAAACTCGAGTTGGTCAGTCTCCCAACTACTATTTCCACAATTAGACATATGTTAGCGAATCTACTCCGTAACAACATATGTAATAAAAGATCAAACAAAAACACTTATTTAATTTATAAAATTAGTATGGATTCTTTTCTATCTCACGTTGGCAATAATTTTAGTGTTGGGTCAGAAAATCGCCAGAGTTCGTGTCAAAAGGTTTATCATTGCCAATGTTAAGGTCAAACCTGGCTTTGTGCCCAAGTTACTGTAAGAGAAACGACCATGAACCTTATCAGGAGAGCTGCCAACTGGGATTGTTAAATCCTCACGCATTTAACAACATATTGACGTAATAGCAAAAATATCAGAAGTTAATACTTATTATAATTTATTAGCAGTAATAGCTATAAATGCAATAATTCTGTTTTATCACTATAAACTAAACATTTCAAATTTTAATATGGATTTGTTTTGTTATAACGTTGTTATCAAAGAAATATATTACACTCCTGTATACTATAATTAAAGGAGTGTCTTCTGTGATCTTAGTTTAATGATTGAAAATACAGTTTTAGATTATTAAAATTAAGTCTTAAATTGTGTAACAGATTTGCTATCAATGTATATCTGAAACAGCAAAATGTGCCCCCTACAATTCGTTCCGCACTGTCATTTAATTTTATGTGTATTAAGTAAAATTCGGTGCTTTAAATATTATTTTCCAAAGTTAAATATTCGTACAGTCATTCTTTTATAATTGTCTTCAACAGCTGTGTGCTACAAAAGATCATATCGATATATAAACGGAATGTAATCACGTCTGTAGTGAAGTTAAATATTCTCACGTGTCACGCCACTCGCACCACGACGCACGTGAGCTCGTATGTACTATGCTCAATAACAACTGTTTAATTATTATATAATAATAAGTAGCTGTTCATTTCCCGACGACTCTTTCACATCGATTCCTTAGTACTTAACTAAGCAGAGCTTGAATGAATATGAAAACGATTTACACATATACACCCTGTTGCACAAACGTGCATATAAATGTTTATATTAGAACTTTTTTTAAGTCGTCATTAAACCTTAATGGACATTTTGCTACTCGGTGTTAGAGTAGTTACATTGCATTAGGCAGCAACACTGGCAGTGTCACCAATCGAATCAAGTCAAATTGAATAAATACCATACAACAGAGATTGCCATACTTATTTGCTTCCATCCATAGGGAGGACGTGTGTGGGGAGATCCTGCTGTGAAGACATTGAAGATGATAATGACCTATAGATACTTAACGCTACTTCACATAGGAACGGCTTCTTTGTGGTATTTGGTCGCTCAGCTGCAATACCAAGCCTTGTGGCATACGCTTTGGCTGTCAGTTAGTTAGCTAGGCAATTAAGGTAACATGTAGAAGAGTATTTGTTTTGGTGTTAAGCTCGTAGGTAATTATTATCGAGTGGGACGATAAATTATCTTACACTTCGATTGCTTTGTTTCGTCTAGATATTTATTAAATGTTAGATATTTATTAAATGGCTCACGTGCAAAAATAATTAAACGTAATCATTCCAATGATTAATTGTAATGTTTGTTCTTGTGATGACGACGAAGTGATAAAGTAGTGCCACCTACTCATTAATGATCCGCCTGGTTCCTTCATGAACTAATTAACGCGTATTTTATTTCTTCCCACTGGATTCTCTGAGTAGGCTTTATTAGTAGTAGGCAAGTATTTCGCTTCTTAGACTCGTCCATAACTTTTTTCATCATCCTCCCCGACTTTTATGACTTCTGATATTATGTAATAAAGAATACGGATACGAAAACGTTCCTATCTCTACTCTCATAATTTTCTTTTCCTTTATCTTATCCCTAATTACCAGTAGCATAGATCCATTTTTTTTTTACAGGTAATGGATAAGAAACCTTAGTTTTATTTAAAATATTATTCTTTCCCAGATCAATATACCCTGGATAGCGAATACATCAAGAGAAACTTGGGAGAGTTGACTCCTATGCAGGAGTCGAGGTTGTTGCAGCTGCGGAAGTGGATCGCTGACTTGCAGAAGGGAAAGGTGAGACATGACTGATGTAATAGGGGTGTAGACAACTTTTTTAAATATTATTTTATATGTAATTTAGATATACGTGAAATATATCTAAAAATATCAATCATATAATAAGTTAAAATCTAAAAATAAGATTAAAAAATATTAATTTAAGCAATATTTTAAATAAAATAAGCATAAAAATGTAATTATCGGTAAAAGTATATTATACACTACCAGGAAAAAGAACATGTAATTATTTTCGTTTACTGTTTACACCCGTATTGTTTATTCTGCTATTATCTAAAATTGTAATCCTTACTACAAATCTCTGTAACATATTTTTTTGAAAATAAGAGTTCAGTAAATTTGCTAAATACCTTCTGTGCGATAAACGCTGTTATATGTAAACAGAAAGTTTTATTAACTATTTTATGAATAATGAACAGGTATTTATGACTAGGGTTTGCAAGTATATTGGTGTTGTCCTTTAGGGCTGTCCATTAATCACGTAAGGCCCATATAAAGTTTAAAGAGTATAAACTCTTACGCGTTTTTTTAAGGTATCGCGCGTTACCGTATGTGTTGTATTTCCCACTTTGTAGAATTTTTACTAGGGAGCGTTAACGTTTTAGGTGCTTATCCGACTGCGTTCGGGTCGCAACTTCTGTTTTTTGACGTTAGCACCAGGTGCCTTACCTATCAGACGATTCATATCAGGCTTTTTTCTATCTTTAATTTAATTGGATAATCTCATCCATGACGTGAAAGTTAAATCTGAATCAGGAATAAAAGTTAACACAGGCAATTCGCTCTTAGGTGCCCAGCGATAAGACGTTACTCCGATTCCTACGAGCTCGTGACTTCAACGTGGAGAAGGCACGCGAGATGCTTTCGCAGTCGCTGCTCTGGCGGAAGAAGCATCAGGTGGACAGGATCCTATCCGAGTACGAGACGCCGGATGTTGTCAAGCAGTACTTCCCTGGTGGCTGGCACCACCACGATAAAGGTGAATAAGCAAATAAGTCCAGGAGATTGTCTGTCTCAAATATTGACAAGTGAAATGTTTTATATTTGATAATAATATGTATATCTAAGCTGTCAATGATCTTTCACAGATGGACGTCCTCTGTACATTCTTAGATTGGGGCAGATGGATGTGAAAGGACTCCTGAAGTCCATCGGAGAAGATGGCCTCTTGAAGTTGGTCAGTTCATTTATATTGTAGTGTTCACTATATTGCGTTTAAATTCGTTCGATAAGATATATAGTATGAATAAGTTTCTAAGTTAGTGCTTAGCACAGGGGTTAAAGGTTAGTTGATCCGTAGAATGAAATTTTGTGGATATTCAGTTATAGTATACTTATTTAGATTGAGCGAAATTTTCCTGTTCCAAATAGGTTTATAACTCAATAGGAATAAGTAGTTATTCACGCCTCGACTAGTTGGAATACTTTAGAATTTGATCTCTTTGTCGAGTGATGGTAAAAGTCACAGAGTAGCTATGCGTTACAACACGAGGAAGGATGTGGATCGACTATACAAATATATCAAGATGAGAAAATTTTTGTCGACCCATCCGCGGTTGACTCGCAATCTCTAACGGATTACGATAACGTTCGTTAGACTCTTCACGTGTGCGAAGAGGGTCTGAAGCTGCTGGAGGAGGCGACGCGGTCGTCGGCGGCGGCGGTGCAGCGCTGGAGCCTGCTGGTGGACCTGGACGGGCTCAACATGCGGCACCTGTGGCGGCCCGGCGTGCGCGCGCTGCTGCGCGTCATCCGCCTCGTGGAGGACAACTACCCGGAGACCATGGGCCGCGTGCTCATCGTGCGCGCGCCCAGGGTCTTCCCCATACTCTGGACCATCGTCAGCACCTTCATAGGTCACTATTACCTTCTTTAATAACGTAGGGAGATGCTTGACAGCCGGCAGGGGGCGTGAGGGACTCTCGATCCGCACAAACCCGCCTGAAATCTGTGCTGTTACTTATCTTTAGATCATTGCTGGTTCTGGACATACGTCTTGCTTTATGGATGGTATCGAATCGAATAGGGATAACGGCTATACCCGTAGCTATCCCACGTATAGGCGGATCCAAGGGCAGTCACGGGGTCATGACCTCCTAGGCTGGGTCCCGGTCCTAGGTGGACTTTTATTGAAAAGAGTGTTTTTATATATTTTTGTACCAATAAAGTACTTTCCAAATTTAATATAATACTTTGTATTTTTTATCAAAATTAAATTAGAACTTCTCACGCGGGCTCTATCGGATCGGTGGGTATTTATGAAGCAGTCCGTCCAATTAAAGATCAGAGAATAAAGTACCATGGATCTGACGTCTTCAATACTATTCACAGAAACCACCAAAATCAAGATGGTCAACGGATCTTATTGGGTTCTAGGGTTTTGTAGCTGGAAAACTTCGTTGCCCATGATTATATACTTTCTGATATTTTTTTTTATTCGAGTTTCAATAAAATCAGATTTTTTACCATTTTTATACATCCACGAACAGACAGAATGTTTGAATGGAATTTCGATTTTCGATCATATTGTATGTATGAAAATTTACGAGATTTTGATTTATTTTCTTTCCGTAGATTATTTCATAAAAACGATGGATGATTTCTGAATAGAAAGTTAGCAAATGTTAGTGTTGAAAATTCACCGTAATAATTTGAACTGTGTGTTTATCTTCAGATGAGAATACTCGTAGCAAATTCTTATTCTATGGCGGTAAGGATTACTTACAACCTGGCGGTCTGCTTGACTACATCCCCAAGGATCTCATACCAGACTTTTTAGGAGGACCTTGCAAGGTATTAGTCATTAGCATATTAGATTTTGTTGTATAAGATACGTAGAGTCATTAGTATTTTATTTCTTTGGATTTATTATAGGTTTAGAATAAATCCAATGTCCCCATAGAAGGAAAACTAACCAACTAACAAAAATTGACATTCGGGAAAAATATGTTTGAATAATTTTTGTATAAAAATTTATATACTACTTTATACTTATACAGATACTCTCTCCCTACCCCGCAAGGGATGCGACGTGAAGATATAGATAAATATACTCGTATTTTTTGTATATAATATCAAACAATATTGTATATTATAAATTATAATGCTAACTTTAGGAGGCGGAAAAAATATTTAAGTTCAATGCAAGTTCAATCTAATATAAACTTTTATTACCTATTGAAGTAGGTTTTATTTTATTGAACCTCTTAAGCTGTGACAGCGCTGTGTTTGCCGCTGTGTTCTTAACAACACTGCAACGCGAGCAAAATCGCCATTATTCTAATATCACTAGTCATTAATCGTAATAAATTAATATACACCTAGAATATTTTTATGTCCGCCTACTTCGGCTCGGATTGTTCTGCTATCAGCGTATAAAGTACCTAATAACAATTAACCAGCAAATAAAGTGAGTTTGTAAATTTTTCTGCTATGAGGCCGGTTGATTGTATGATTTAACTCGAGAGATTCTGATCTGATATTATTTATATAATAATAAATAAAGTTAGTAGTACTAAAAATACAATCCAAACTCCAATACAAAATTACCGTCCGTAATTGTACCGTTCGTATCGGCGGTTATCTTAACCGTTTCAGGTTATTGCGTTGTTTTCGCTTGAGGTTATTTTTGCATTTAAAAATCTTTCATCTATGGTACTGCGATATGTTTGTTTTTTTGTTTATAGCGTCCTTTATTGTTTGTTGGGTAATATGATATAATTAATGTGGTTTTGTTCCTCGCGCAGTCAGACATAGTGGAGGTGACGTCGTGCGTGCCGCACCAATATTACGATTTAGTACGGACGTGAGACTTCAACCGTCAAGCCAATATGTGCCATAGTGTTGTCCGTCCAGTACACACGTACAGTCGAAAATTGCTTGAACCACGTTCACTACATTTGAGATTGTTGAATATTATTGATGCGTCTTTCAAATATTTAGATATAATATACAGGGTTTTGTGAAACACGAAGCAACCTCGCCGGACTATAGGGCTGACATCGCAAACAACAAAGTTTGATTTATGAGTTTTACTTTAACGCAATACTTTTAACAAAAAATATTTTTCAAGTTTACGTTGTACTGTCGTGACATTTATAGATCTATGTTTAATTCCTAAACAGAAGGATCCCACATTGGGCACTGTATGAAACACTAAGGTTAATAACAGATGCATGTAGACTATTTAATAGTTGAAATTTTATTTTAGAATGAAAGCAGTTATACAAATCATAGACAAAGCGTTGTTATTTATTATATTAGCTTTTTATTATTGCGTATTGGTGTTACAAATAACCCTGTATGTATTTATGATGAGTTTTAATCATATGTATGCAGAAAAGTCAATTTTGTACATTACGCTTTGTACACAAAATCCTTTGAACAATGGTCGCATAAAGGGAAATAATTATACCAACTGTCAAGGATCAAATGCAAGCGATAATCGCTTAAAGGTGAGCCGTCAAGTTCCTTGTTCGAATAATACATATTACAGACAACTTGAAATCACTTCAATAACACAAAACGATACAATAACTGATTAAAACGATACGTTACAATATCTGTGTCAATATGTAACGGTTCAAGCGATTTTCGGACACAAGCTGCTTACTTACAAGTCATTTAATTGAATCATCGAAATACAACGAGCACCTTGTTATGTATACATCGACAAAATATTGTTGATAATTCATTGTTTAAACGACTCCAGTAATGTAATAGTTTCACGTATCAGTATGAACACATCAACTATATTGCTAAGACTGCACTACATTGAAATTATACTTCTTGGATTCATACGTGTAGAAAATTGATATCGTTTTATTTTTAATTGTAATAATTAAAAATCACTTTTTTGTATTATTTACTGCATCAGAATTTATAATTACTTGAAACCTGAAGTTAGAATTACGTTAACTGAGTTTTATATTTAAAGACAACAATGGTTATCGGCTATGTGTGCCATAAAGGCATGTGCGGTGGTATTCTGGCCTAACACTAATGTCCTTTTGAACAAAAATACCGGCTATGGGTGTCTGGAATAAATTTAATAACCATTAACTTCTTATAGATTTTCTAGAAGTATCTGTATCTGTCTTTCTTTCAACATTTTGAGCCAATATATAGAGGATATCAGGGTGTGGTATAATGGTCAACATTCGTCTATTTTCGTAAAAAACTTCTAAATTATTATCTAAATCTTTATTTAAAAAATATATATATTTGAGATACTTATATGACATATATATTTTAACTATACAATGTTTCAAAATTTCACTCCTAAGTTATTTAATATTAAAGTTTGTTCCGATTACATCGGTTTCTAAGGCTCCAGTGCATTCAATTTGCGACATATTTTATTCTAATATTTTTTGAGACGATTTTGAGATAATACGAGGGTCAAACTGAAAGTTCTTAGAACTGGCCACTTATAAACAATATAATAAAAAAATAATTCTAAAATTTGAAAATATAACTCTTTGCCAATATTACTGAGTATATATTTCATTCATTTGTCATTTGTTTTACGATTTGGCGGCAAATTGAAAATTGTCTGTGTCACGTCATCATGAATTTAACACGAGAAAATTTTCGTGCAATGATTTTTTATGACTTTCGATGTCATTTAAGTCAACAAGAAAGTTATGATAGACTACGATTGGCCTTTCACGATGAAGCCCCATCTCGTGCGACTGTTTACAACTGGTTTAATGAGTTTAAACGTGGTCGCACTAATCTCACTGTGATTTACGTGAGGGACGGCCTTCTACGGCGACGACTGAAGATAACATCTGTGTTGTGCGGCGTATGATAGAGACTGACAAAAGAGTGACCTATCAACAGATTCGGACAAGCTTAGGCATCGGTATGAGTCAAGTGCACAAAATCCTCCACGAACATTTAGCGGTCAGGAAGCTTTGCGCCCGGTGGATACCTCATAATTTGACTGAGGCTCAAAAACTCCATCGTGTGGTATTGGTGTCGTAAAATGATTGAAAGATTTAACGGAGGTGACTCAAATGCTGTGTTCGACATACTAACAGGTGACGAAAGCTGGATTTACTGTTATGATCCTAAAACCAAAAGACAATCTGCTCAGTGGGTGTTTCCTTTCGAGGAGTTGCCAACTAAAGTGAAGAGAGATCGAAGTGCGGGAAAAAAAATGGTGGCCTCGTTCTTTGGAAGGATAGGTCATTTTGCAACAATTGTGTTAGAGGATCAAAAAACAGTTTCTGCAGAATGGTACACTACCAATTGTTTGCCACTTGTCTTGGAAAAAGTTCGAGAGAAACGACCTCGCAGTAGGATCCTCCTTCACCACGACAACGCCTCGTCGCACACCGCCAAGCGAACGATCGACTATTTGGCGACATCAAACGTTGAATTACTGGGTCACCCGCCGTATAGCCCCGACCTCGCGGCCTTGTGATTTTTATTTATTTCCAAAAATTAAAGAAAAACTTAAAGGAAAGCGGTTTATGAATGCTGAAGAAGCGGTGGCTGCGTATCGCGATGCCATTGAAGAGACCCCTAAGGACGAGTGGGCAAAAAGCTTTTCCCAGTGGTTCCATCGCATGCAGCGGTGTATTGACGTGAATGGACAATATTTTGAAAAGATATAATAAAACTAATAACTGGCTAATGTAATCAGTTTTTGATTTTCTAAGAACTTTCAGTTTGACCCTCGTATCAAATAAAATATTTTGTAACGAAAATAATACGTATTATAACATGACCCAAATAATGTATTGAAGTCTTTAAAATCATGGTATCGATTGGTAATGCCCTTAATTTTAAAGTTTGGTGTGTGTATTTTAATTTAAATTTGTCCTATGTGTTGCAGAGTTTCGTGCACGAAGGTGGGTTGGTTCCGAAGAACCTGTACGTGGCGGGAGTGTTCACGGAGCGCGACGGTGACCCACTGAGCGAGGACACCTTGTACAGATGCATCAGCCTTGCGAAGGGACAGGTGCGTCAGGATAAAAATCCTTATCGTTTATTGGAAATAATAAAAACAAATCAATTCAATATCTTTATTGACATAATTTCAATTATAATGTTGTTAGCGACATAATTATAATTTTTTGTCGAACGCCCGTTGAGGGCGCGCCGCTGTGGTGTAGACAGTCGGCACGCATGAGCGCTAAGTATATCAGTAAATCAAGTTGTGTGCATCTACGTAATTTTATTAACTAGCACTCTAAAGTTTACAAAATTGGTCCTTCAAGCCGGATCTTTCGATAGACAAATGTCATAAAATATCGTTCTGATCGGATGTCTGAGACGGAATCCGATCCTTAGCTTCCACTCTTATCATGGAGTGTTTCGTCGCCTGTTCTGCTCTAATTCAGATATTTTTCAACACAGCAGAGTGAGGCAGGGCATTGTGAAGTTCGTGATATCTTAAATCGGCTTTAAGACCAATCACCGCGTTACCGATCGAATTACACTGAGATTGTAGAAAAAGTGACGGCATATTGAATCGAGTTACTTTTATTCTTGGGGTGATATATATTGAATGAGGGTAGTTAGAAATGTGTGTTCTATACAGGTGCACGAGGTGTTGGTAGTGAATCGGGACCCGATGAGCGTTCTCACGTGGGACTTCGATGTGCTGAGGCAGAGCCTCTCCTTCTGCGTGTACCGCACCGCCCACCTGCTGCCGCCGCCCTCGCATCTGGCCCACACGCATGGTATGCGCCACCACCGCGGCACTGCCCATCTCGTATTATCTTAATATATTAAGAGATGCCAATCAGATAAGAACAGCACATCTAATTATCTGGCTACAAAATAAAAAGATTAAATAAGGTAAGAACGGCACCACCACCTACAAATTTTCAAGACTAATCTGACAGATGTTACCGGAGTGACGTCACACCATGGCAATCGTGTTTAAAGTCTCGTGATACGCAGATTAAAAAAAATCTCTACTTTAAATTATATGATGATAAGAATATCTCCTATGTTTATTTCAATGTTAATTTTAATTTCGTGACATACTTTTCGCTAATGAAACACCCTATTCTTTTGCCAATAATACTACCAGCCAACAACTTGTTTACTCACTCTTTGTTTATCTACATTATTAATGTCTCCATTTTCGCTCAATTTTTTTGTCTTTTGTCATATCCTCTTGATATGTACAAACTTCTTATAAATGTTTGATTCATTGTTTTGAAAATCTCTAATCATAACGTTTATATCATTAGCAGGTGCATGTGTGGGGGGAGGTGGTGATGACTACGGCTCGATCATAGAGCGACGCGAGTGGCAGGAGGGTGAACATTACCACCGCGTTGAACCAGCACTCGTCTGCCACGACGGGGAGAGCGTGCAGGCAAGTTCACCATTATTTGTCATTACCATTAACGGTCATCACCCTCATCGTCGTTATCATCATTCTCAACATCATCATCACTATTCTGTTACTATAAAACGCGCAACTACTTCACATTTTATGTACATAATGAAATTGTACAGGATAATATTGGAATGTAAATATTATATACAGGGAAGATTTTATTGTATGTTTGTTGTTGTTTGCTAGTTTATATATAATAATGAGGAACAAAAAAATAATTTAAATATTTCTGTACAAAAATTGAAATTTACAAACTTAAAGAGTAAATTAATCTAAAATTATTTCATTTTCACTCTATCATAATTTAAAAGTTTGCAATACATATTTAGTTACCCTGGATTCCATGCGAGGATATCCTGTGTGGTGAAATCCAGTCTAACCTAATACTGATTCTCAGTATTCTCACAAACTCTACTTCCTAACCTTGATGTTTATAATAAATATACCATACGATAAATATAGAGTAGAGTATATATAGAATACAAATTTATTCTATATATACATATACAAACAAATAAAATCAGTATATATATATAAAGGTCATTGCTACTTGTTTTATGAATTGAATTTAAAGCGGTCATATCATCACATACAATATTTCTTCTATTTCTTGGTAACTTTTAGGTTGTAGTCATTGATGAAGAAATCGTCTGCAGATAGGTCTTCTTATATTCATTATATTTTTATTTATTTTTTATATCTTAGAATAAATATAAGGTCCCATGACATCGTGGGATATCCAAGTGAACGAACGAGTTTTAGGTCGGTCCCATTTCAATGTTCTATATGATTCACGATCAAGGTCTTTAGTCTGCTTGTGGAAACGTAAAAGGTTAGATGTAATATATAATCCAAATAAGTATGTATCATATATTGTGCTTTTAGACAGTGTACAATTATTTGAATAAGATATATGTGATGTTAAATTAATAAACAAATCCGTGCAGGGCTCTCACGTGATGCTGGAGGAGGGGAGCTACGTGCTGCAGTGGAGGTGTGAGTCTGGTGCTGCACAACTTGTATACTTCCATGAAACACTCGCCAGCCACCACTACAAGTCAGTTATCATTTTAAATACTATAACTATATTAAGTAACGTAGAGGAGCAGCGATAAAACCGGTAATGCATTAACGTTAACAGAGTCATAGCGGCCGTTTTAGGCCTATCGCACATGGAGTTACTTAAAATAACTAGATTAATCAGGTTTTTTTTAATTACCCAATTTGTAACTATACACTTACACTTGATGGTACTCAACTTGCATGGTTACAGTACGAGTCGGATGAATTAACATGACATTTGGCTAGAATAATGTTCGTGCAAAGTGTACTTTGCTTCCAAAAAAGTTATAATTTCCTATTTAATAATATATTTATATATATAATAAATTTTATCTTAAGAAAAATCACAACAATTAACAAAATACGCCCACATTTAACAAAATGTAATAACAAATTACACTAAAGAATCCCTTTACAATTCTTACGTTCTGCTATCGCTACCGAGATTGCATATGGGGACGGTAGGGCGTTGTGCGGAGTGCAAATTCCGAGATAGGTATATTTTCATTCGTTCGACTTGTAATTTCTGTTTGTAAAAGTACGCCTCTAACAAGGGTAAATCAGTGCCGTCGCGACCGTAGTAAGTCGCGAAACTTTATGCGAATCTCGATGATAATTACAATATACAGACGGTGACGCTGAAACAATTCGTTCGTATACAGTTCTTATTGCCATCTAGCCGAGTAGCTCGCATGGCAGGTCTTAAGTGGTTCCGGGTCCGATTCCCTTTCGGATCAATATAGAAATTTTTATATTCCCTTTGGATTTGGGTGATGTGGTGCCTTCGTCCTTTCAGATTTTCTTTTAATAAGCGAGCTTGGGTTCTGAGCAATGTATGTGTTCTTGTTTAAAATTTTTAGTAGCTCCATGTGGGAAGGGCCTTAGGTAACCAATGATCATATAGTAAACAAAAGGTGTCATAATATAGAAAATTGAGAAATATCATGTATAGTCAACAGCATGTCAGGTTATACAAAACTGAATGAATTTAGACCTCCCCGAGTGATCAGTTGCACAAACGTCCATTAAAGATTAATGTCGACTTTAAGCTTTAATTAATGTTCTAAATTTAGAAATTTGTATGAGTAATGTGGCATTAAACTAATGACAAGTTTAATGGACATATGTGCAACTGGCTGTCTGAACTCTACCCACAATATTTTATATTGTGGGTAGAGTTTAAAATCACTTGTGATGTAGTAACTTGAAGAGCAGTCGCGTGTTGCCGTGTGTATACAGTATATTGTGGTCGGCAGGGGCTCCATGTCGAGCTTGCAGTCGGGCACGAGTGGGTTCTCGTGCCTGAGCGGCAAGTCGGCCGCCAGCTCGTGCCCCTCGCGGTGATGCGCGCCGCCGCCGCCGCCGCCGCACACGTCCGCCGCCGGCGACTAGCCGCCGACGACTGCACTCAATATACTTATGTATAGTTCAAATTATCGGCGCGACGTGACGATGTGTCTTGCAAACCGTTCACGATAGAATAGTATGGATAAGGTGTCGTCCGACTATAATTTTGCTAATGAGGGCGCCTTTGAATTTATTACATTATATTCGTAATTTTTAACTAATAAAGTCCTTAAAGTCTTTTAATTGAAGCTGGACAATTTCGTTCTAATGCTTTAATAGTTGTGTTAGCATTGAGAGGTTGGCGAATAAGACTCTTGAAACGTAAAGTGTTTGCAAAGTGCGAATTTATGTTTTTGGCGGGAATAATAGTTAATTGTTGATCTGTTTGACACCTCAACTACGTGAATTTTTATATTTCATCCTTCTTACCCACTTGTGAATTGAAGGAGTTATGTTATTCTATTAATTGACCCTAATGTATTTAATTATACGATGAGAGTTTCCGCGAGAGGCTCTTCTGTGAAAGGTCTCAGTTTACATTGTAATTAGGAAACTCGTTCTTGACATACAGATCTGCAACGATCTGTTTTTATTAAAGTATAACTTTTAAAATTAAAGGCTAACTTATACCAAATATGGTTATGCGACTAACTCAAAAAGTCTTTCAAATTATCGGAAGATTTTATTGTTTACGACCGGGGAAGGCCAGGCCATTCGGGTGTTGTAAAAAATCGAAGAACCGCCGGAATACTTAATAAGAAACCTTTAAAATCCAGTGTACATATATTTTTATTTAAACTGTGACGCATTCGCACTTTGACAAATGCCACTCCAACTGTCAAATGTGACAGTTGCTGCTACGGTTTTGACATAATTATTTAGACTGGCATCAATAAATGTAACAATTATATGTGACAAGTTCTTATTATAGTCGCGTATAAATTTGTAATGGTAGGTACGTATTGCAGATTCGCCGCTGTAATATAAACGACGCATTGATCCAAGTTTATCAGAAGTATTATATAATAAAACTGTATTTTAAACATTGGACACGTTCAGAATAGAAGATTGAAATCTATACGTGATTTATGTATTTTTTTTATTTATTAAAGTATGGCAAAGCGGACATTATGTAAAACATTATTTATTGACATGATATCTAAAGAGATACAATTATGTTACTGATGGTTTTATTAAATAATTATTAAGAAAATATTGAACACGTTAGTCGTTTGTACACTCAACAGCAAATCAGGTTATATTAAAACTTCATAAACCTTAAAACTACAGAGTTAAGGGAGTGATTGCGAAAAATTTAAACTTTTGTTATAACCCGGTTTACTGCTGTGTTTACATACATTTGTATGTGTAAAATAATTATTTTACGAGTGAATCATGTGATTTGTGAGATAGTAAACATATTGTTCGAATTTACACTTAAATCCGACGACATACAGACAATTTAGGAATTATAATCAATGTTTTATGTCCATTGTTAAGTGTTTTTCGTTATAATGAAAATGACAGGATCATTTACTTAGAGAGTGGTTTCCCTTTGCCTGCCGATATTATGAAGTATTTTTATATACATAATCTGTTAAACTATTTGATCTGTCGACGAGTTATTATCTTATAATAAAGATAATTGTTTTTAATTTATCTTAATAGCAATGGTAACGGTAAATACTTTGTATTTAAATAGTAAATGTTATAAGTAAAGAGGACGACAGACGTATACAAGAACCGTGCCTTGTGATCTCGGTTCTCTCCGTCTTGTCTAACCGGCGTTAAGATATATAGATAGATATTTTAATTTGCGTATTCGTAATATTTTTCGATATGTGTAAATAATGGATAATGACAGAACCTTAATAAATAATTATATTATAATTTATAATATTTGTCATTGTGGACAATTTCAGTATACATTAAAATAATTTAGATAATTAGTTCATTGGCGTATTGTATATAGCAAATATTATTAAGTTATCGGTGATATGAGGTTAAACGTATAAGTATAGCAAATAAATACTTTAAATTGTCTCATTCTGGAATAATTCTATCAAAAAATGTAGAAACTATAAGAGGCATATTTAAACCTCCAATTAGAATAATTTACTGATTATGTGGAGTTGTAAAATGCATAATATTGATTTATTTAATTCTACAATACACTGACAGCATCTTTTAGGGCCTAAATAACGAGAGTTATTGTCTATGGTAAACTGGTATCAGTTGTGATGGAAGAATATAACTCATTAATTAAGCAATCAAATTACAAATAATCTATCGATTTCAATCAAGTTTAAAATAAGCTAAATTCATGTTGAGTATGTAAATTTATAATAAAAAAGTTATAGCTCAAAACTATTGAAATATCTATCAAGTGATTAGTGTAATATGGTATATTTTTCTCTACTTACCTAATTATATAATTTTTTAGAGTAACATTATAAATATATGGGTTAAGTTATTAAGTGTTAGGAAAAATAGTATTTTATAATAGTTATATTTTTTCGACCGCGGATTAAAAATTTATTTGTTAATAATTAAAATTCGTTTGGTTATATCAGCCGTGCAATGCTCCTGTAGGAATATTATGATAAAAGATACAAAGTAGCCGTTTTTTATTTCATTAAAAAGAAACATAGAACTATTTTTTCTTCATGATAAACATGGAAATATAAAATTTTATTGAATCTTACTTGTCTTTCGAGTAAATTAAATAATTGTTATCTAAAAAAATAATAAATAAATAATAAGTAAATATTTAGAAGTAAGAAGTAACTATCTAGAAACTTGCTAATATATAAACAATAGATATCAGGTTACAAGATTTAAAAACGTGATCTAAAATGTTGCCAAATTATTAAAAAATGATAGCCAAATGCTGTCCAGGGTCATGTAACGTAGTAACACACTTGGTACAAAGGTAAAAAACAAGGAAAGAAAGATTTAGGTAAAGAAATGTTAAATGAGTCTCGTCCTAATAATGTAAATAATTATACCATAGTCGCAAGAATATATATTTTATTTAATTATCCAATAAAAACGCATTCTATAGAAGAATATCTTATAATAATAACAGCTGTGATTTTTTATTTATGAAAATTGACTATAAACAAAATTATGTTTTAAAGAATTATATTTTTGAAATATATATATTTTTATGTTAAAATAAATGCGGTCTTTTTTGTCATAACCAGAGGTCGGAATTAGGTAGAGTTATTTATGTACTTGCATCGAAATGTTGATAATAATGTGGACCTTCCCGGGATTTCTATTGGACAATCTTGGACATCTTTGGACATCCGATGTCATTGATGTAAGTTTTGCAACGTCGTGCGTGCAGTAGTTTAAATTGTGTAAAAGTAAATAACTTTTTATTCAAAAATTCAAGGGATTTTTTCTGCTCTTTAAAATTAATCTCGGGATTTGAGGCATATCCACTTTATTCTTTCACTGTATGAAATCAGTGTAAGTACATGAATAACTCTATCTAATTCCGACCACTGGTCATAACACTACAATATTTTCTGAAAGGCTACAAGTAAGTCTTTTCTTATCTGTAAATATATGATCTGTATATAAAAAAAAGATGAGGTGCGTCCACAGAACACAGAAAGGAGGGTGAGTCCAACAAGTCGTCGAAAAACATTATTAGTCGAGACTGAAATGTATTTTACGTAAAGAGCGTAAGGTTTGTAACTCAATATTTGAGACGAAACAATATGTGTATCACGTGATTGCCAATGTTAAGGCTGGTGTACACAAGAGCATTAGGTGACGTTACGTTAAAGGTACGTTCATACTACGGTATCATGCAACTTACAGGTGTAAGAAAATTGGTTCTATAATAAATAACTTTATGAAATACAGATGTGGTTGTCACCTATTGCTCTCGTGTATATCACATTTAAATTTTAACGGATATTTCCCATATTTTTCCAAATTAATAAAATATAGCATGTATATTTTGTAAATATAAATTGAAATAGAATAATAAAAATCTACTACCATAATATGTTAACAATAATTATCATAACTTAGTTTATTGAAAATATTAGTAGAAATGTAGTAACTTTTCCCCTCTTTCTCGTATCGTGTTACTCCTTGACAGTAAAAAAAAAAGCTAGTATTTCTTCTCTTAAGGTGGAAACACATTTTTGTGTCGTATTCTGTCGTATCGCTACATAAATATAATCGTTTCATGCTAATGAACGTTATAATATGCGATAACAACAACGACACAAATATGTTCACACGTAAACAAGTTCCAATAAGCATTCCCCTTAATTTATCAAAAAAAAAGACGTCTTGCTGACGTAACCAACATATACACCTCCGAGGCCTCCGTATCATCAAAAATAAGCAGACTGCTAGAAACATGCGAATAAAGGATTATTTTAAGAAAAGTGTTTGTTAATAACATAGATTAACCCAACACGATTAGAACAATTTAAATAAATAGCTTATAAAATATAATTTAAGTTTTTATGCAAAAGTAAAGGTTAACGATTGCATAACTTGACAGATAAATATACGTAGTTGTTGAGTATTTTACTCATTACTGAACTTTAAACATGTACTTATAAAACCATTGAATATTCAGCCTAACACGTCCAGTTATAAAGGCTACATTCGCTTGAGCTTTGAGCGAAGGAATGGTGTAAATCAATTATTTTCCAATTAAAGTATGCAAGCTGACCGATAGCGAATAATGGTTTCTATGTAATGAAACGAGAAATAAGGAACGTGCTATTAAACTCCTTGTTTCCAAGGTTTATAAATGGAAATAGTACAGCGATGCAAACATACGAAAAATGTAAGCGTTGCGTTTAAAATATATGTATTATAGGTCACATTTATCTATGAAGCTTTGGATTCATATTCTGGATTTGGACATAATAGGGATGATGACTAATTTTTGTTTATTTGTCCGTCAGGTAGAGTGTTAAAAAATATAAAACAGGTATTTTTTTATTTTTTTCGTAATC